AACATATTATAGAATTTAGTAAAAAAAAAATCTCTTGCTAAAGTTATGTCAGACGAGGTATTTATTGATTGTGGTGACATAATAAAACTTTAAATTCATTAAAATACTGATTTCTAAGTTTCTGATTTAAAAGATTTCTAAATCGTTTTGTAATATAAAAATTAGCTACAGTCAATAGAATTTTTTATTAAACATTTTTATTATCCAATTTCATTCCTACAAAACTTTTACGAAAAGAGTGCAGTTCTAGCTTAATATTTATTACCAAACTTTATTTTTAAATTATTAATAAGTTACATAAACAAGTTTGAATAATTGATACTTTTTTAAGTAAATTAGTATATAGATAATACAAAATCCGAGAATGATCATAAATTACGTCACTACCAGAACATACTAGCGCTTACTAGACAGTAATATCTTTAAATCAAACAAAGAAATTGGTATAGACATGAACAGATCTATTGTTTCTATTTCAGGGATTCATTACGAATGCGATCGGTGAGTAAGCATTTTATTTTGTTGTCTAATAACACTATACTACTATAGCAAACAAGCTGATTACCCACCTGATAGAAAATTACAACCGTCTTCTATAGACACGAAAACAGAACATATATCACAAAATATAGGTAAGTATATCTATACCTATTCACACAAGAGCCACGATGGCATTCCTCATGCATTGTTACTTCTGATGACTAAATGTCATGCACTTTGAGTCTCAGATTACGTCATATTAGCTATCTTACTTTTCCGACTCTCTTATTATCTTTTCTGTAAGTAATGTTAATAAAATATATAATATATTAAGTTGCTAAACGAGCTGTTATGAATTGGGCTTTGTTGAAACCAAGAATTTATGTTATTGTACTTTATATCATGTATATACTTCTATGTATATCTGAGTCGGTGGGTGTCAGATAGAATAACTGGGATCAGCGAAGCAAATCGGAAGGCCGTGCCCTAGGGATCGAACGACTAAAACCTTCCAACGAAAAGAGTTCGATTTAACTTGATTTCTACAAAAAGCATAGTGCCATTATTTATTGGGTATTTCACTTTTGTTTCGGTATGAATTGTTATCATGGTCAGGTTATTTATTTCATTACTGTAAACACCCAGTTTATTACGAGTTTTAGTTCCTATTGGTGAAGACTTCTTTTTATAAGAAAACCTTAGCAATCTTATGTAATTAAAATAAATATGACCAATTTTTTTTTATACAACTTAGAATAGTAAATAAGCTGACGGCCCACCTGATGAAAAATGGTAACCATCGCCTATAGACATGAGCAGTACCATGGACATAACAGAGTAGACTATTTCGCCCATGATATTCCCCATGCGTTGCCATTCCTGAGGACTCAGGTATTATTCCTCTGTACACTGTAAATTCACACCATCCTTCAAACCGAAACACAGCCATACAAACACAACTGCTTTATAGTTGAAATACTAATGGGACAGAGGTACCCAAGCAAACGACTTTTGTACAGTCTCCCTCTGACAAATTTTTGTAAGTATGTAAATCTAAAATATTGGTCAATTGTTTGATAATTTATATATTGTACTTCCGAGTTTTATATACATTGTCAATATCATTGTGATATCCATTTACCCCAAGATTTTAAAAGATCTGACAAAGTTATTTCTTCTTCTGGCATTACAAGTTTGAAACTCCATCAATTTCAACAGAATAGTTACCAAAGAATTTTCCACTGCAGCTGTTTAAGCAAAATTAAATAAAGAAATCAATTCTCACGTAAAGTGAGTAGATCCCGAAAACAATGTAGATAAGTTCACCAAAATTCAATACGGAGCATGATAATTTTTCCCCCACGAGTCTTCTTCTCAAGTATGCAAATACCAATATTCGGGTTCGAGTTAAAAGTACAAAGTTCGAGAATGCTGATAGAAAGGATTTGTACAAAGTTTCAGCGAGGGAACTGATTAAATCATCAAATAATTAGATACTTCCACAAACTGACCTACTTAGCCCGGAGAAAATTTACCATTAACGCAGGTCAATTTTTGTAGCTAATGAAAACAGACAGATTTGCAAATGCAGGAATAAATGAGAAAAATAAGCGCGCCAACTTGACTTATCGTTCTGAAGAATCTGTAGGTAATATTTTTTTTTTATAAATCTCATAATTGATAGTACAAATTGACAATAAAACTTTGTAACTCTTCCATAGATAGGACTATATATCTGTGTCCCAGTCCTTGAATGTTGCTATACAGTATTATAATCTGTTTTATTTGTCAAGGTCATGAGTTGTGCAGGAAGGACCGTTAACCCAATTAAAGAGAATAAATCGAGATTATCAAAATAGTAGTACTACAGCATCTTGGCCGTAATCTTACCTGACACTTCGATGTCTTAATATTATTAGTAATTATTAAGCGCCCATACAAATACAATATAATCCATCTTACTTCCATAACTTGCTAACAGTATATATGTGCGATGAGTTTCTTTATAAATATTGGCAGATCTGTAATGTTGGTAATACCCGTCATAATGCTTGTATATTATCAAAAATCGCATAAACATAGATAACTGTTATTGTAATACAATGATATCGCTTCCGCTACTGCAAATTGGTGTCCCTCACATTGTGACTCAACGTGTGTTTACATATTCTACTACGCGAGTATGTTTGTAATACATGTTGTGAGAGGACTTACCGATATGTAGTAGTATCCTGTCGATTAGCAGACAACAGCGAGCGAGTAGTTAGGTTATTTGGTGTCAGAGCAAAAGACACAAGAGCACGTACGTCGCGCTCGGTGGCCGGGCGCCGACTGCCTGCGTCGATCGATACGGCGCCATTGCTGCGTTGCGTTTCGTTTGCGGCAATCAAACAATTCGAATGTTTCAATTTCGTTTTTATTCTATTACAGACCAATTTATTTACAGTTTGTAAAAAAATTCAAAGAACAACTTTGTTTTTTTCAAACTCGCAAATTTAAATATGGTGCGTAAAGTTGGGAAGATTTATTTATTCTTAATTCTAGTTGTTTTGTCTTGCAATATTTTGTTTCAGGCTTATGAAGTTAGTCACAATAAAACGATCAAGGTTCTGCACTTCTTAAAGCTGTGTAGATATTAATAATAGATTTCTTTCACAACTTAGCACTTATATGCCTATATGAGTAACATACTAGATGCTTAATAATAAATCTAATTAACAATAAATAAAATAGAGTTTTTAACGTTTGATAAAACTATTACGTACACTTCATAACTGAGTTACAGTTAATATTTGAAAGGCTTAGAGTATTAGTTATAGTTATAAGTTTAATAAAATTATTAGAAACATGTATGACAGTCGTGCGTAAAAAATACAGAAAAACCATAGAACAATTGGTGTCAAAAATATATAATTTTTAGTAATTAATTTATTATAATTGTTATTTTTGTCACCTTATATATTTCAATATTCAAGTTGACTCGCTATTTCCATATCAGGGAACTATAATGTTTCTGAATATGCTGTTAATAGTGCAATTATAATTAATTTATTATTTTACAAGGAAACGGCAGGTTGCTAAGGTTATTTGATTTGATAGAGTTTCTTGTCTGTATCTATAAAAATATTCCTTTGAGGTTTATTTAAACTTTTCCAACTCAAATCATTTATTATATTACAGTGTAAGGTCAAGATATTAATTTATAATACTAAAGTAAATACTAAAATACAATCGAAAAAAGAAAGTATAAGGAGTAGTAATTAGTAAAATTATACGAATTGTAAAATAGAGCAAGATTTTCAATTTATATATCTACCTAATTTATCTAAGAATAGAATACTTTACATGCTTTGAATAACAAAAATACTATTATTATATTCATATTATATTTTAGTATTATACTCAAATTATTCACTCAATATCAATATCATACCAATAGCCGTTAGGTTCTGACATAGATTGGGCCACCCTTTCCTTTACCGTGGGTGTCGTAAGAGGTGACTATCCCTTAGACACCTAAATAAATAGTCGAGGGATGAGCAGCAGCGTCCCTCTTAAAATATCACCAAAACCAAACTGCGGTTGCTAACCCGCCTGCCAAACATGGCAACTACTGGCAAAACTCTCCTTATGGGGAGACCTATGTTCAGCAGTGGACACTTAATGTCTGATATGACGATAATGAGTCAAACTATTTAAAAAATGTCTTATAATTATCACAGTTCATACTATTGAAACAATATTAATACCTGGAGATACAAGCCACCCCGACCCGAAGCGATATTAATATTATACCTATATTTGTTTTATATAATATGAAATATAATATAAATACCTACTTAAAACAAACTTAAAACATTAATAAAATCAGTTTCCATCCTATTGTAAAAGTTTTCTAATTGACAATTGTTATTGAATTCAGGACATCATTTATTCAAAGTACCGACTAATTAGAACAATATAAATCATCGGCTTCCACCTCAAATTGTATTTATGAATGTTCACTATAATTAGTATTATGTAATCGACCAGTCTAAATCACTGGTGCTTTACAATGAAATTGAAATAATTTGAAATTTTGTTCCACACTAAAATAAAAAATTGCTTTAATAGTACTAGCTATATCACTCCTTTTCCCATAGTTTTATCGTTCTGTTGAATAGCTTCATCAAAAAATTTGCTTTTAAACGCGTTAAAAATTTTTTTAAACCAATTGATAGCTTTAAAGATTAGTGCATTCAATTAAATAAACCCTTTTGTTTCTTCGTATTAGATCAGATTTTACCATCGCTATATTGATGCTAATGATAGGCTTAGGTATATCGATTTAAAAAACAATCTATCTCGATGAACAATAATATAAACACAGAAAAGTACTATCGAAATAATAACATCGTTTTTAAATCATTTAAACATAAATAGATAACTTCCTATTAATAAAATGGTCGAGCAAAACTTAAGCCAACCAACATCGATCAAACTCCGCCATAGTTATCTGTTGTACACAAGGGAATAAGCGAGCAAATACCTTAGTTATGTTCCCTGTTATATTACTGTAATAATAAATAAACTGTTCAGTGTTACATTTAGTTTGTGTTTACATTAACTTATTAGTACTAGCTCAAAATATATGGAAACAACAAATAAGTAAAATATATATAATAAAAGTTACTCGTGAATGATTAATTATTGAAGTAAACGTAGACAAACGCATATAGTATTTACGGAAACATCTCTTTACATAAAGATATGAAAGTTAATAACATTATATGTTTATAATACTGCCTCAATCTAACCTTAATGGATCTCCAGACATTTTTAGAAGAGAAATTCAAATGTTGGCAGCCAAGCGCTCCATCCGTAGTGGACAGAACGAAATGTACAATCACCTTGTCCTGGCAGCAAGATGAGTTTGGTTTTATTACTGATCAGATGTTATATAAAATTGAAATGAAAAGCAAGCTCCCGCCTTGGATCACTGTTTACAGGTAGGTGTTAATGATTAATATACAATAGTAATAACTAAATTGTGTTCGTAAAAAAATCTACTTCAATTACGTAAAAACTAATTTTTTAAAACGATTTTGATAAAACTTCTATGGGACTAATCTGTATGTATATTATTATAGATAAAAAATAATAATTTTCCGAATTTGCTTACAACTACCGGAGTTATAACGTAACAAACAAAAAAAAAATACGACCGAATTGAGAACCTCCTTTTTTGAAGTCGGATGAAAATAAATAAACGGCCTACTAAACAATAAGCAGTTATGGTGAACATAAAAACTAATAGATAATAATAGTAAGATTTTAGAAGCTAGTGATTAGGAACAAGACTGCATTTCACACTATTATGTACTTTCTGCCGTCAGCCTTAATCGTCGTCTGATAATATTATTCAGAATGTGAACACTTAATTCTTACCTTCTTCGGTATCGTAACTTGAACTGATTTCTCATATAAGAATTTATCTACTTATACTCATGAAAAGAGAGGAATTTTCAATCCTCAATTTTCATGATTTTAATATTTAATAGTATTTAAAATAAGTAACAACAGTTTTTTAATATATTATACGTCCATTTCTCTTAATTAATAAATAATTGTCTAATATCTGCTACAGTAAAAAATAAAAAAGAAAAGAGATTTAATAATTTTTTAGCCGGGTTTCCTCAATTATATACTCAGAGTTATTTACAAATGATTCCGTGTCAAAATTTCTAACCAAACAGCATACAGGAAACATTTGTAAATGAAAACAATGCAAAATTATTGTTCCCGTTTTGTTTTGCTGACACTTCCTTCTTTTCACTCGTTTGTAATAAATTAAGGAAGTCATTCTCGGCACGCTTCGCTGAAATTAACTCTTAAGAAACCAGCATCATGTTTTTATTAAATTCAAATTATTTTGTTTGCTATTGTTTACACTTGCAGGAATGACAATAACACGATATTGCATCCTGAATATTTAATTTTAACTTATTTAGGTCAAAAATTATATGTTATATATATATATATATATATATATATATATATATATATATATATATATATATATATATATATATATATATATATTCTTTATTATATACAGTAACAACAATAAGTTAATAACAATGTTAGCAAAGGTGAGATCTCTTCCAGTCAACCTAACACAGTGGCATTAGTGAGTGGGCAGTAATAGTGCTAAACAGAAATTATATTATATATATATATATATATATATATATATATATATATATATATATATATATATATATATATATATATATATGAAAGATATTATATTAAAACTATTATTATTATAAATTATTATTAACTATAATAATAATAGTATTATTATTATTATAAAGCTATAGAGACTTTTTTGTGACCACATTTATTATATGCTATTGATCGGATTTTGATGAATTTTGGGGGCGTAGTAGATTATAAATCTTAAAATAAATTTAACTACTCATATAACCATAATGAAATATAATATTCTTAGATATTAATATTTATTCAGTGATATTTCTTTTAAGCAGTCAATAATGCACTGGCTTTTGAGTGTGACATGCTGAATCTCAGGTTTGCTCATTGTAGTGAACAAGTAAAAGTCACACTGTTCAAACCAAACTGCCAAACATTTTATACGAACAGCCTATGTTATATGTCAACTGCACACATATTTCACTCATTACTCTATGTATTTAATACAGTAATAGTTTCAAAATGCTGTTAAGACTATCTCACTTTTGCAGTACCTCTACCATATTTGCTCAATGTCGCATGGCTAGTTACTACACAATAAAGCTAAAGAAAAATGTATCATTGCTACACAGAATAAAAATAAGTACCGACAGCATTCTAAAAGTAATAGACGAGTAGTACGACACATTTATAATTAAATATATTATATAATTGTCAATTCATTGACAAAATATCCGGATATGGATTATTGTTCTATAAGGAACAGATTGCTAATTAGCAGACTAGAAAAAGAAAAAAAATAATTTAATATGTATCAACCATAAAGCAGTTGTGTTTGCATGGCTGTGTTTCGGTTTGAAGGATGGGACATGGCGTGAATTTCCAGGGTACAGAGGAATAACATCTGAGTCCTCAGGAATGGCAACGCATGGGGGTTATCATGGGCAAAACAGTATACTCTGTTATGTCCATGATACTGCTCATGTCTATAGTCGACGGTTACCACTTTCCATCAAGTGGGCCGTCAGTTTGTTTGCCATTCTGTTGTATAAAAAAAAAAATACTTCTTTCAGTTATTCATCTTATCGCCTGGGTTGTATCAGAATGAATTTATTCACTTAATTTGTATTTTAAGATTATATTTTATTAACATAGTTTGTAAGAAATTTGTTATTAAAAACAAACCCAATTGTGACCTAAAAATTATAATAATTAATAAAAAGTGCTTATTACATTTCTATTTTAGCGGCGGTAAAACGAGCAGTACAATCGACAATTTACCACCCAGATATCCACACAGATTTCGTCTTAAAGTGATATTAAAAGCAACAGGTGTATCACTTCTATCAGAACGGGCTATACAATTTTACGGCAATGAAGAATCGGTTTATAATAAAGTGAATGACATCGTACATAATATAAAAAAAATAGATGAAAAAAGCTTTTCAACTAGTAATCCTGATATGAAAAAAGAAGATCATTTAATGAAAATTACTGTTAATACTCCTAATGATAACAACATTAAAAATAAAAGGTAAGATTTTATGTTTCAAATAAAGTGACACATTTAAATTAATTTTGTGAAAATTTATCCCCCCCCCCCCTACTACTATTATTTCTTCTTTTTTTGCGTAACAATTTAGAATGGCAAACAAATTTATAGGTAACCTGATAAAAGTAGCAACAACTGCCTATAAACATAAACAGTAATATGAATATTATAAACTATACTGAATCGCCCATGATACTCCTCGTATGCTTTATGCCTGAGAAGTAAGGTATTATGCTTCTGTTCCTTGCAATTTCACTGCCATATCACACCCCTCCAACTGAAATACAGCCAAACAAATACAACTATTTCACATCAGAAATACGTATGGAACAGAACTACCCAAGCAAACGACTTTTGATAAAGTCCCCTTCTTGTATTTATAGTAAAATACATAAAAATAAAATTCCTTTTAGTTATTATTAATACAGAGAAGTAAACGAATGTTGGTCTTCATATAGTGAAGCTGTCGATGTAACTCGTAAGAAAAATAAAGAAAAAGGATTGCGTAAAAGATTATAATAATATGTATTGAACTAAAATTAATACAATATGTTTTTTTTTTTTTATTTTGTATCGTTACTGTAATGAATTGTAGTTATTGTGATAGTTGATATCAAGCAAACGGTGATAAAGATCTCTATCACTTTATAATGTCATGGTAATAAATAAGTATATTTCTAAAAAAATTAATTACCGTCTAATATTAAAAAAAAATAAACATAAAGAAAGCTATTTTTGTTCTCAGAAATATTTTAATTATAAATAATCTATATTGCTCTCATGATACTGTATTAAACTATATTTTCTTTACTGCTTATTTACATATTAGACAAGCTGTAATAATGAAACGTTGCTGGATCGAGACGTCCTGGTCTCCAGAGACTTGGACTAGTACCGACACTGATGGCACCTCAGCAATTTGCTTCTCAATGGCTGTGAGATGTGGATACATCAAACAGGTATTTAATTTTCAAAAATTTTTTTGTCGCATACCCTTAACCTGTACTGGATGTGGATTTCGCTCGTTTTAAACTAAACAAAAAGTAAGTACTAATTTCATTTAGTGGTTATAAAGATGACGGTAACGACTATGTATGTAACATTAAAAATTAATTTTAGCATATATTCACGAACAATTCTGAAAATGCAGTAAAGAAAAATATCGTCGTTATAACATAATTACAAAAAAATACTGCAGGCCGTGTGTTCCCAACATAGAATAGGCCACACCTTCCCTTCGCGTGGGTGTCGTAAGAGCCGACTAAGGGAGGGCGAGGGATAGGCAGCAGCGTCCCTAAAACCTAACTGCGGTTGCCAATCCGCTTGCCAAGCGTGGCAACTATTGTCAAAACTTTCCACGGGGGATGCTTATGTTCAGCAGTGGACGGTTAAGGGGTAGTATGATGATGATGACTGCAGGCTTTCCTGCTGCCACTTTAAATTAAAAATATAAGTAGCTAAATATTACTATAAATAATGTATTGAATTTTGCATACATCACAAATCAATCACACAAGTCGACAAATACTTCTGACTAATATTTAAGTTTCTACAGGTTCAAGTAATGCTCGATGAGAGGCCCGAATTGATTGGGATTGTCAACGCTACTAATGGTCTAACTCCCCTTGCTACTGCTGTTAGAAAAGGTTTTACATATTTCTATATAAATACAAACACACACATACACAAATTATATTTACAACTTTGTGTCTATATAAATTTTCATAGTCATTACCACGTTTTAAGTTTCAAATAGTCTCTATGAAATTTTGTCAAATATTGATAAGCAACGAGTTTTATCCTTATGACTTTTTAATATTTTTAAAATGCTTATATTTTTAAATCAAAGGAGAAAATATAAATCGTCTGTACAAACCTTAATTGAGTGCAAAGGACCTGCGTACTGATATAGATTTGTTGAAAAATTATAAATATATAGATTTTTTTTTCTTATAAAAGACATAAAATGTCTTTCTTATTTGACATAAATTTTTTGTAGTTTTATCATCATCATCCGTATCATATTAATTTATATATAATGTAAATGAGTATATACTTATATTGAGGTGACATCAACACTGTCCGGTTTCTTATATCCGTCGGTGCGGAGTTGGATCAACGAATAGGTGCAGGCCAAACTCCACTTCACATCGCCGTTCTCTCCTCACACATACCAATGGTAGAGTTGCTGCTTGAGAAAGGTGCAGACACGCAGGTGAAAATTAATGTTTTTAATTTTCTAGTTAAATTCAAAGCGCTAACTTTCACCCAAAAATCATGTACATCATAAAATACAATGAGGTCCATTCTGAGATACAATTATTCTAAACCTATCTCTAAAATTAAAATCTCACTGCAGAGTCTTTATTATAGGGGCCAATATGAACAAATTTTCTTATGAATATAAGTGAAAATATATTATTTGAGTCTATGATTGTCCATAAAACAGTAATTTAGCATAATTATCAAACTAATGTATAAGGTTAAGAGATAAGTTTAAGAAAATGGCACCTCAATTACCCCTAGCTACCCCATTATGATACCCATGGTACCCTTCCTGACATTATTTAGCACTATGGTGTTATGCCTCTATACCTTATTATTTCACTGCAAACACTAGTGTTTCACAACAGAAACAAGGATGAAACAGAGATACCTGTGCAAACTATTTTTATACAAAGTCTTCTTCCGGTATAAGTTTCATTAGTCTTTAAGGTATTTAAACGGTGCAAAGTTCTTTTACAGTAAAGCAAAACTAAGTGCTAATAGTATGAAATGTTGTAATTATATCCAGAAGACTCTCCCTTATTCACAGAAAAATAAGTACCGTATCAATTGTATCTCCCAAGTCAATTAAAAGCTATCTGTATCACATAGATAGTACAGTAAAATATTTAAAAAAATTCTACTTATTTTGATCACTTTACTATTTTATTAGTAACTTTGCAATTTCAAGCAAATTCATCTCCCGACCTTCGGTTAAAATATTTATAAAAATACGCCTACAACTGATGACCGCCGCAAAAGACGAGAAGATCGACTTGGCCCTCCCTCGAAAATCAACATTCCGTTACGGCGAAGGAATGCAGCCGACATTCTTGGAATCTTACCAATATAATAAGATTGTTACATGACGATGTTTATGCATAGGACAATTTAAGAACAATTATGTAAAAAATCTTAACAAAAACAATAGAAGTCGGAACAATCATTTTTAGATTTTTTTCTGCTGCAAATAGTCTGTTTGTCGATTTATTTATTTCGACATCATGCGGAAAGTACTGTATCAAGTTGAATTCGATTCACAATTGTGTATCTGTAAGTTCTAACTTAAAATCTGGTATATATTTTATTTTGATACGCCATCTTGGAGTGTTTACCTTCTACCAAAATTCACACACATGATTTATAGACAGAAACTAATATACAATAAAAGTTTGTATAGTTTTATCTTTTAGCTTCTTCAGGTTAAAATCAAAATAAAAAAATAATTGTAGGGGAATATTCTACCCATAGACGTAGTATAACATAATCTATGGTTCTTCCGGTGAAACTAAACATGTTTCTCAAATAAATGATAACAAGAGTAGAAAAACGACAAAAAAATTTAAGCCTCTATAGTAATACGGCATGTTCAGCTTTTAAGTTAGTAAGGAAGGATCCAATTTTGTTGTAATTTTTTTTACATATATTGTTCACTACTTTATACTGTTTATTTATAGAGTGAGGTAAAACACCGGAGTTTTTGACAACTGATTTAATACCTACATATAACATGGTCGAATTTCTATGTGTTGTTCTCGCACAAACGTGTCATAGATGAGATAAACACAGTGTACATATATTTATTTATTATTTTATATATAACATTTTTAACCTATATTCCTTTATACAAATGTTTAATTTTATTAATAAAATGTTCCCTTAAATGGATTCTAATGATTCTAATTTCGCCTTTTTTTATGAAACTTAAAATAACAAATAAGCTAACGGCCCACCTGGAAAGTGATAACCGTCGCCTTGTATATTAATTAATATTTTTATGATTTAAACTCTTACAGGCTCGAGACAACAATGGAATGCTTATAGAACATTATGCTGTAGACTCAGGCAGCTTGGATATGCTAAAGTTTGTACTCGATAGAGGCGGGGATGTGAATGCTAGAGACAACAACGGTTGGACACCTCTGTTCAGAGCTCGTAAGTCTTTAAGTATAATTTCTATAAATATAATTTCTAATACCAACAACAAAAATAATAAGGTATTATAATTATCATATCAGCCGTTATCTGTCCAGTACTGACCATAGATCTCCCCATAGACATAAGGAACGGCCCCATTCCCTATGGTTTACTATTGGAGTGAATTTGCTAGTAGTTGCCACGCTTGGCAGGCGTATTGACAACCACAATTTGGCTTCTGGTAACGTTTTAAGAGGGACGCTGCTGCTCATCCTTTCACCATTAAGTCCTCTTAGTTGCCTCTTACGGTACGCAAGAGAAAGAAAGGGGTGACTCATACTATACCGGAACCACACGGCGAAAGTCCTTATCGCTGGTTAATTGATTAAAATTATTTTATTCAATTTCACTGCCTTTTTTATGCTTATGACTAAAACATATAATAATATAACTCTTGACGACTTAACGACATCCAATTTCTATGACATTTGATACTCACGCACTATACGTAGAAAGGAGAAAGACGTAGACTACTTATCATCGTAGCAGTGAACATATATGTATATCTTCAGACGAATTGGCGGGTAAAAACTCATAATAATACATATAAACATTGTATTATACTAGTAGTATCAGGTATTTAAATTGTTAAATGAAATCTCTATTATTTATGAACCGATTTTGACTTTTATTTTTAAAATTAACAATGTTATATTCCGTATTGATTCCTCATTAATTTCATTGCGACTGCAATCGATCTTTTTGTGGAAGAAAATCTATTTTTTGTTTTCTTCTTATTGTGTTTCAATGCCTGTTCCAGTATGTCAAGACGCGAGTACACAGATGGTACAAGAGTTGGTGTCACGCTCCAGTAAGCTAGATGTTTGCGATAACGCTGGTCTCCCGATGACTTCCGTCGCCAAACTATTGAAGAATCGACAGTATGTATAGATTTGATTACATCATTATCAACATGTATCTATCTTTGTGACAATTCTAAAGTCATCTACTTGTCACAGATGTACAGTTTCACTTACATTTCTGCCGTGAAGCAATTTGCGTGCCTATTTCAGTTTTGAAGATGGAATGTTGTAGTGAAATTGCAGGGTATGGAAACAACACCTTAATTCTCAAAAATGACAACGCATTAAAGGTATCATGGGTGTCATAGTACATTATGTGACGTCCATGGTACTTTCGTAACTATAGACAAATGTTGTCACTTCTTTTCTGGTAATCCATCAGCTTGTTTGACATTGTAAGTTGTATGAAAAATATCTTACTTATCCTTACGTAGATTACTTGTTTAAACAACTTTTATAAATGACTCGATATAGATTTTTTTGCTACTGTTATTTCAATAAGGTTTACCATAACTATTTATTATACAAGTAATATTATGATCAAAAAATCAAAGTATACTCGTACTTCATACCTATATTATATTCATTAGATGTCCGCTACCTGATTTTCTCATAAGACAGAATATCCTAGTTTGTGGACTTGAGAATTTGTGTGATTGTATTAAACATTTATTATTATTATATTACTTTTAATTCATAATTATTCTGATAATATATCTGATATTGATGATATGCATTGCAGGGATGATGATAGATGCATTGCAGGAAGTCAGTGGATGCAGATGGCTCAGGACGATTCGTTATTTCAGTCTATGAGGGAGTCCTATATCCAGCAGTGGACGAATAATGGCTAAAATAATGATGAATGATATCTAATATATTTTATACTGAGTATTTGTAATGCTAATGGATAGTGGATGCAGGTGTTTCAGGACCGTTCTTTATGGCAGGCTATGGGGGAGATAATGACTGAGGTGATGAAGATGATGATTTGATGCTAATATAAGAAAATAATTAAATATATTTTTATTTACAAGATAAAATATTTAAAAATCGATAATAATTTTATTAGTAGCACAGTCTTTTGTTATGGTGTAATCAGTAACTTCATAGTAGTATATATGTTTATTATAATTGCTAACGTGGCTTATGTAATTATTTTTTACTATACAATTTGGTTGCAGTGATCGGAGCCGAGACTCAATTCTTCGTCTGGTTGACTCGCAATACCCTCACGAGAAGGCTCTAGCTAATTTTACGCGTCTTACCAAAAAAATAAATCATGTGCACACGCTCTTTAAATGAAATTGTCATTAATAAACAACTACCGTTATATTATGTACAGTTTGCATAATGATTTGAAATCTCCATTTAGGAATGAATCTTTTAATTAAATACTTACTTTTTAAATTTTAAAAACTTTTCACACAAACATTCTACAACTGAAGCACAGAGAAATAATCCTTTCATTACTAACAATAATAATAAAAAGACTATTAGCCTAAATAAATATATAACTTTAAAGAATTCAAAGATTAAAAAATCTTTAAACTACGTATTTTGTAGATAGTCTCACTCATGATACTTAAATAAATCATAAACTAAAACACGTAGCCCAACGTCTAACTTTTCGTAATAAAACAAAGTTTTAAAAAGGATTTGTTCATAAATTACAAGTCTCATAAACTGTGGAGCCCTGATGTCTTTTTTAATGTTAAGAAATGAATACCTGAAAGAAGGTAACTATTACATCTAGAAATTTCCGCTCATGTTGCCATTCCTTACCCTTAAACTTTTAAAATTCCATAATGCTACTTAGTAGCAATGGAATTACATAAAACAAATTATGTTAAAAAAAGATATATACAAAAATCACTTTATGAACTAAGACATTCATAACATCAAAAGTCATGTAATTTTTTTTTTAAATTATGTGTTTTTTATGGGTTTTGATCTTGTGACTGTTTATGACCTGTCATTATACTAAGTTTTCAAAGTTGTATTTTTGTAATACTATTTTTAACATTATTTGTAACATCTATTAGTATTTTAATACATTTTATCAACAAACAAAACGCTGCAGTTCTTATTTATAACATTAGAATATTTATTCAATTATCGTACTTCTTTTAACTCCAATGTTTAATATTTGACTTTAAATAGGATCTTAAAAGGAAATCAATAAAACTAACAAAATAAACGTAAAAACTAATTTATTGATTAGAAATAAAAATATTTACAAAAATCCTTACAACTAACGGAGTATTGAATTGCATTATGCGCGTAACAAAGTGGTAACAGGTGGTTGAGATATAGACGCCTACACTACCGATAGAATAGGAGACGAGAGCCTAGCTAGTCCCACAGCCTACAACCCATACGTTGTTTGACACAAAATGCGATCATGGCAAGGCTTAAATAATTTAACCAATAAATAAATAAGTATAGTTTAGGTACATTCAGAATAATTTCAGACATAAAGTTAGTAAGGTCAAATGTGGCGTACATGATAATAACGTACTTGCCGATTTGGTCGATTGTTGCAATTCAAAATCCACCTGACTACCAACTACGCTGTGCCCGTTTGTGTGTATTTGTTCTTGAACCTCGCCTCTCTCAAATTGTGTAGTCTTTGTGTCTCTTTTATCTCTAGTATTTGTATCTTCTTCCTCTTCCTCCTCATCCTCTTCATATTCCTCGTCTGACTCATTATTTTCCTCATTATTTTTTAATTTTTCTTCTTGTTTTATATCATAGTTTTTACTGGCTTTTGCACTTAAAATCTCATCTATATCTTCAGAATCTTGAAAAGCATTAACTAATTTCAAATGCGTCGTTCGTGAATCGTCATTATCTGGCAATTGGTCTTTAGTTAACTCTCCAATAGCGGGTGTTCTAGATACTAACGGTGGAAGTTCACCGATAAATGGTCCATATTGAGGAGTTTTTAAAAGTAATTCTGGATTAGCGGGAATTTTAGCAGAAAATAATTTTGTTGTAGTTTTTATTTCTGGCACAGTCGAAACCGAAGATTTAGTGATATTCTTTCCATCATACGTAGTATAATAATTCATTTGTTCATCTTTAGTTGTTAATTTTTGAGACTGTTCTTTTTGCACTTTAGGGTCAGGTGGTAAATAATAGGGACTTATTCTGTCTGATTCCATTACCATATCAGAAGGTACTTCTCTTTCTAAGTTCTTTTTACTAAATAACGCATTTAACTGTTCTTCTGATTTGACATATACCGGATGTGGTCTATCTTCTTTTGCGTGGTTACTGGGAAAAATTTCCTTTGTTCTATCATTTGTGGATAATAAATGATCTGGTGGTGATGGTATAAACATTGGTTCAAAAGACTCAGTTTGTTTTTCACTTGGATATGCATGATTTATATATTGTGGAGTTTCATCGTAGTCCTCTTCTACATCAGTGTCTTCTCGTCTATTAGTATTATTAGCGTCACCTGAATCAGTTATTCTGTCTTCGGCTGCCATTAATGGCTCTCGAATTATTGGTTTAAATCCACTTTCAATAACTATTGAATCTGGCTTAAAACCTGTATTTACAGCAGGCTTTAAAGTAGATGTACTAGGTACTGACTCACCAATGAAATCTGAAGATTTTATTTCATTTTGTAATTGTAATTTTGGTTCATTCTCTATTCTTGTATGGTGGGTCGTAGATAAAAGAATTTCTGTAGGCAAAGGTGTGGGATGCGTTCTTATAATTTGATGTTTTGTTTGGGTCATTTGTTGATCTAAAGGTAACGGATTATCCATTGGTTTGCCCAATATGATTTGTCCTGAACTAGGTTTATTCAAAAATACTTGTGGGATGCTATGTTGTGCAATAGCATCATTAGTACCTGGCAATGTGATTTGACTCTTTACTACATGATTTCCTATTATATCGGTTTGGCCCAAATTTAGCATTTGACTTTGACCTGGTTGTGGAGAATTATTATTGGAAACCGGTTTTTCCATTATTATAGATTGCACTGGAACATTGGGTAATTTTGGTATTTGTTTAGGAGGACCTTGACTAAATCCAACCTTAGAATGGTGTAATGGTGGTATAGCCTTCATTGGTGGTATAGCTGACTGATGTGGCCTATTCATGTTTGGTGGCAATCGACCATTAGGATGATTAGAGTGTTTATGTGACAATGGCTTCTTTTGTATTCCCTGAGGTCCATGTGGATTTGGTAATGATAAAGGATATCCATTATTACCTTTTTGAAACATAGGCGGAGGCCTACGTAGTTTTATTTCTGGTGGTACAGGTCGTCTGAATGGTGGTCGCATATTTCCCATTGGTCGGTTAGATCCAGTGGGGCGTAAAACCGACTGTAGTGTGAGTGGTTTTTGATTTGGTGGTAACATATAATTATCAGGTGATGTACCAGGCTCTATAATGTATTCATCTCCTTCTCTAATAGGTAGCTCTGACACAAATATCTCGTGTACATCTTCATGTACTTGATACTGTGATGGTGTTGAATACGACGTATTTTTTCTCATATCTTCCTTCATTTTGCTCTCCAAACTTTCTACAGCTTGTATCACTTCTTTTATTTGTACTTTGGATATAGGCAATTCATACTCCTTTGTGGACGGGTACAGCTGGTTCCGTACAACCTCAGTTCTGATGGTGTCGCCCGAGAGCCCGCCGTCAGCTTTAATGCTACTGAAATCGTTATAATTTATTTTCGTATTGATTATTTTCTCTACTTTCTTGCGTTGATCTAAAAAGTTAGAGTCTGGTGGGACGCGGCTATGTACCTGTATAGACTCCTCACTCTGCAGATCGCCCTCAGGCACCGCATATTGCTCGACTACACGGCTCTCCTCCGCCTCGGCCGCATCGCATTCATCGAGAACATTTATTTTCCAACCAAGATGTCGATGAGTGAAACACTGAAACATTGAACATTTTATTAAAATCACATCAAAAAACTATTAAAAGAATAACCTGTCACCGTCGCTAATATACAGTGAGAACTTATCGAGAGATGTCATGCGATACAGAGAAGACTTGGAAGGCTGAAACAGAAAACAGGTAGGATATTATATACATACAAAGCAAGATCCCTATTATAATTACATGAGATGAGGTGAACAATGTAGGGTTAAACTTCAAATAAAGACATAAATATCATGTTTAATTCAAGTAATATAATAGTAGTAAAATATTTGATTAATGCAATTATCAGTCGGATAGAAATTTTTTAAGATGCACATTTTTTTATTTGAATGTCGTACATTTAAATATCTCACACCTAATAGTAAGAAGCGTAAAGATATAAAGATTATACAGAAATTCTTTAAGAAGCTGTTATTAATAATGACAGTAATTGTGCTAACCTGGTAGTAAACAGTGTCAGGAGTACGACGATCTGGTGTCCATGTAACAATGCCAGGATTTCCTGGCTCGCACTCGAGGGTTAGGGAGCGTTGGTAAGCACCGAAGCTCGGATACTCATCAGCTTCTGGTCCATTAATATCTGGACTCCAATTGCAAGAACGGCCGACGCCTGTAGGTAGAAGTTCCCCAGTGCGACTACGGCGGACACCAGCATAGATTTCAATACCCTGTTGATAAAATAGGATTAAATTTCTATTACAGATTAAGTTTATATTATTTATCATTATTATTTATTTATTAATGAGTGATACTTATTATGTAAACAAATAAACCCAGAGAATGAGGATTAGTCATGAACACTTGGTTATCTCCCATCATAATGATGATAAGCAAAATTTTAATAAATAAATGTTACACTTATGAATGAATTAAGATAAAAATTTTACAAAAGCAAATATTTATATAGCTTTATAAGTTTAATATTATGATAGTCAATTAAATTAAATAAAAAATATTTTTAAAGACCATGACATCTGTTTGTATTGAAAGATAAACAAGTGTCCTGGAATAAAATTGAAAAAGCAATTGGTCTTTATTTGAACGAAAGGCAACGATTTAAGACGACATTTTTCTACTGCCATTATAGTTTTCGGGGCGTTGTTTATGTCAGACGATTATTTTACTTAAGTTTAGTAGTGCGGTTTAGTTTAGTTAACTTTAGATAACCTAAACTTACCTCCTTCTCCTTATCACTTTTGTGAAGATATCCTCCAACGGGATCGTTGGTGATGTAGAAGGGATGATACCTAGCAGGCACCTCGGGATCAGACCCTCCTTCTACCACAAAAGTATATTTCTTGCCGCGAACCACATTAATCTCGGGAATCAGGAGACCATTAATGTACCAGGACAAACCCCATCCAACGTGACCTGCACATTACATTAGAATTTATTTCGATAATTTCTCCATTATTCGTCTTAAAATAAGAGAGCTAAAAGATAAACATGTAATGTATTACAATTCAAATAAACTAATACATTGTGGAAAAAAAAACGGTTACTTTGCATTTAATTCTACTGAACCGATTTTGATAAAATTTCTATGGGAGCAATTTGTTTGACGAACTTATACGGTATAACTGATACCTCATAAGATATGAAAATGACAATTCTTTTATAATTACACAAGAGATTTAGCATGAAAATAGATGGATGTAATATTTGTGAATTATAATAATTTTATTTATATACATTTATTAATCGCATTTTTTCTGTGTATTTATTACGAATAATTCTTAATTTCAATGATTAATATTTTTATATTTATTTTTCGATAATATCAGTTAATTAAGTGTTACTTTAGTGTTATACATACCTGTAATAGCAGAGTATCCTTGCTTTCCTCCAGTGGGACCCATCTGTGCGTAGAAAACGCCATCTGGTGGCTCGTAGCACTGTATAGCCGGAATGTCCCAGGGTTGTACACGAGGTACCGGTTTCGGAGTAGGTACTGGGTTCGGTTTTATTACTGCTGTCTGTGTAAGATTGTAATATCACATTATACATATTAATATATAAAATATATTGTTTCATAAATATAAATTAACTTATAAAAAGTAAATATTAATTTTTCGGTTTTAGCGAATAAACTTCTTTTTACTTTATCAAAGAATAATAATGGGCTGTATATTATTTAAAAAAAAAATTAAAGGTCTACTCGTACTTATTTACCCGTGCGGAGTCGATGTGAGTCATTAGTATCTTATGAAAAGCATGCCACATTTATGTGAATAATTCCATTTTAAAAACTACGTTCAATAACCTAATTCTCATAATGGAAACCGTAACAATATTCATCAATATATCGTATTGACTCACTTGTTGGAAGCATTTTTTATATCATCGTACATTTTAAATTATCATCAAATAGGTCTCGTATTTAATATAAGTATATAATATTTTTTTTATATTTGTCATTGACTAATATAGTCATAATAAAATATATTTTTTAAAATATAACGATATTTTATATTAAGAATATACTATTTTTTATTTGTTTTAATTGAAAAACCAATTACAAACAAATAAATAAGTATTATATGAATAGAAATATCACTATACACACAACAATAAGACTATAAATGAACGACAATTTCAACTTTAAAGTATTTTATATTATGATTTAAAAACCAAATTACTGAACCGATTTGAATAAAATTTCCATTAGACAAATGTGTATATCCTTTCGGATAATAAAAAAAAATCCAAATCGGTTGATAACTAACGGAGGTATGAGGTAACTAACATAAAAAACCAGCCAAATCGAAAACTCCTTCTTTTAGAAGTCAGTTAAAAAGGTTTCATTTTACGAGACATACCATATTGCCTATAAACAAAGTAACGTTCTACTAGCGGTGTTTCTGAAAAAAAGTGCAACAACGTGTGAGATTGAGCTTTATAGACACGTAGACTCTGAGCGTAAGCTTATGTCAATTCCATCTTGCATTATAGCATTAGCAATATCACATATAAAATATTACATTGTGTACAAGTTTTGAAGATAAAGAATATTGTCTAGTGACTTTACACATCATAATAAACCTGCGTAGTAATTCAAATTTGCAGCTTTCTAACATTCTCATTCATGTCGTTAACAAAACTAAATATTCAGACATCTCACTTGTTTTATTAATTGAAACGTTTGTGAATAAATGAAAGAGAAAAAATCGATAGAAATGAGATTACCAACTTTTAATTTTACGTGTATTTTACCTATAGCAATTACACAATTAGTTAAATCAATCATTTTACTTATGAATGTTAATGCATTTATAAATATTGTGAGCAAGGGTGGACTTATCTCTGACAGAGATCTCTTCTTTATTTACACATTGTGAAAATAATCTGAAAGTACTTACATTTAGACATTCGTAAAAAACGTTATTCTCTTGTCTACATTCTACATAATTGTAATAAACAACAAAAATAAAGATATACTCACTGCCTCTTGTTTGCTACTTGATGGTTTCTGAGAAGGTGGTGGTCGTTCATCATCCTCTCCTTCAGGCATGGGACAGTTCCATACAGGCGCCCGACCAAACTCTATGAACTTGTCCTCCTATGTATATCAAGCAACGTGCACAAAATATTAATAAATGCCACTGAATCATATCATTTGCTTAGTTTTTCAACTGGGATACTTTGTTATGAGGTATTTTACATTTGAACATGTGAAGACATAAACTAAAACACCCAAACCCAAACCAATATCCACTTAGACTATGACTGAGCATATATTATAGCACAAGGGATTAGTAGAATTTTTAAATTTTGATAATAAATTCCTATTATGATATAGTCTTTCAGAAAGAAGGTTATTCATTTTTTTTTATACAACTTAGAATGGCAAACAAGCTGACATCCCACCGGATGGAAAGTGGTAACCTTTGCCTATAGAATTCCCGAATTTCTTACGCAAACGAGACATAAATAAAAAAAGCTAGTTCTGACATAGTTATTAAATGAATTCTGAGCTAATCTATACTATTAATTATATATGGATTCTGAGCTAATACTATTAATTAAAAATAATATTTATGTAATTCCATAACAATAAAAATTACTAGATAATACCATTACAGCAACACTCAAATAAAACTGAATAAATCATGTGACTTGTATAATAAGCGATAGGCTAAAATCTGACTTCCATTGAACCCAAAATAAGATCATGGCAGTCGTGGCAGACGTATTCGATAGAAAAATTCCATAAGAATTTGTTCATAAATGACGGTAGATAAGAGCAGTTATGAGGACTTTCGTCTAGTAGTGGGACTCTACAGTTTATGATTACCACAATAATTAACAAAAGATCGTAGTAGATGATCTTTCTAATAGGATAATCCGGACAGAGACGACTACTCAGGACCCTGGAAACCATTGTGATTAATTCTTGTTGTATTTATCACAATGGGTCAACTAACCTAACTTCGTCGCCACCTAACATCCCTCACTGGTACCCCCAGCTTAAACGAGTAGTACAAGTGATGTTACCATTCCATTATTATCTAAAATTCTGTATTCATACCTTATTATAGTGATGGTGGTAAGAAACTTCATTGCGCGAGTTGAGCGGACCCAATGCCCAAATGATGGGCTGGCTAGCGTTGGTCAGCACTGGGAGATCGAGATCATCGGCTGCACGGAGACTACGTTGGTACGTCACTATAGAATATCCATTCACAAGGGCGGCATTCAGTAGACGAATAGAATTTGTCTTTTCCTGTATTAAAAAAATGTGTGAAATAAGTTTCATGTATGTAAATACATAGACACTAGGATTTTTTATACTAATGAAGTCACCATTATTAATATTAGCATTTTTTATTTTCAAATTGCATAAAACAAAAATAACTAAATTAGAATTTAGTATTTAGTTATTTTTGAAATAACTAAATAAGATAAATGAACATGTTAAGATTGTTTACTAATCATGCCAAGTGTAAAATAACAGATTATAATGGTCAGATATTCATATACTAGACAAATTCTGAGGAATTGCCCCAATTCTGAGGAATTCTTTGAAATCGCTTTTTACCTTTACCCTATTACATCACCTTGGCCCTTTTTTACAATAGAAAAGATAAACCTACATTCTTCAGTAGTCAGGTAAAAAATAGCAACAACCAAAAAGAATTTAAGAGCATCTGACATAGTGCTTTACTGTCTTGCCTTATGGACCCTAAAGGTGTCATAAAGATGAATTTGGCTGAAACCTAAAACTTTATACTCAATTAAATTTCCAACTACCTCTCCGGTAATGGAAAATACTGTTAATAAATAAGCTGTAGAGTACAGGCCACATATATTATTTATAGCTATATTATTATTTACCAAATTCGAAATTGACACGCATATCTATTGTTTCCTTTTAGCTTGCCTTCTCGGCTCTAGTCTTCTAAGTTCCTTTGCTATTATACATATATTTCCAATTTCCATTACTGGTTTCCTTTGTCGCCCACAAATTGGAAATATATGTATAATAGTCAAAAAAACTTAGAAGACTAAGGCCGAGAAGGCAAGCGGAAAGCCAAAAGGAAACAATAGATATGCGTGTCAACTATAAATAATATAGTACTCCACATAAGCAGTGACACAGCAATAAATTCATTACTTGCCACATTGGCTTCTTATAACAATTGGATTTTTTCTGAGTGTATAAAAAGTATTGTGTACCTTTTCATATAAGATGAAATCGAATTCATTCGCATTTTTGAGAAAGTAACAAATAATTTTTACTAATTAAATATGAGCTGTAACATGACGAATTTGAGTTTTCAGTATTAACACTCAAATTAATTCAATTTCAGTTTAATTATTCATAATTGTAATATTTTAACACGACTAATTGTTTATTGAGTGTACGAGTATACACTTGTATCTTTACCCATTTTAATAATGAAGCACCACATTTTTCCTACAAGTTCACTAATAAAGAATGTTACCAACTTTAAGGCCGCCCTTTGTACTATATTCTTATTTTATAAGTAAAGCTATAATATATATAAATAACTTGACTACTCGCACAATTGTACCTGATTATTTTAATAAGTATTTCAATTAAAGCATATTAAGAACAGCATTTTCTTATAGAAGTAAGAAAAACAATGATAAATGAAAAGAAAAAGACAATTACACGAACTGGTTTGGTATGAGACAGCTGTAAATTACAATACAATTGAATTCCCCTTTGTTCATCCACACTTAATATAACAAACAATTGATCTAGTTATATTTGATAATCCGTAGTTTAATTATGATCTTTCTATTATAATTTCTATGTACTTTTCGATAATATCAGCAAAAATTCCATTTATGAATTTAAAAAAAGAAAATACGAGAATAATAATATAAATTTTCTTTTACGAAAATAGCTCTAAATTGGACAAAATTTATCTGGAAACAAACCTTACTTCTTCGCTTACTGTAATAATGTTTGTTATTTTTTAAAAACCGAAACTTAATGGAGGTCCTACATTACATAATTTGATATTTTCATGATGGAAACTATCTGTTCAGAGAGAGAGAGAGAGACAGAGATAAAACTAGCCTGTAAATTGCCGCGCAAAGTTATTACAACTGGCAGCCTCCTGTAAAGTCCCTATACCATACCATATCGACCGTTAACTATCCATTGCTGAACACAGACCTCCCCATAAGAAAGGTTTTGCTAGTAGTTGACCCGCTTGGCAGGCGGGTTGACAACCGAAATTAAGCTTTAGTGATGTTTTAAGAAGGACGCTGATGCCCATTTCCTCAACCATTAATTTCTCTTAGTCGCCTCATAGAACACCCACGGGAATAGTGATAGAATAACACCACACTACGCCCCTATATTCTTGAATAATAGTACAACACATTATCGTAAATAACTAAAATTTTTTTCATCAATTATTTACATTTTATGAAAATTTGATTAAAATTTTAGTACAAGTACAGTATAAATAGGCTTTATAAAAAAATTTAATTAAAAATATTGTGTTTTATCAAATAGAATGATTATAATTAAGAATTTAAAAGAGACCATAATTTTAAGAATAATAATTTTATTATCAAAATAGATTTTTATATTACAATAGTATTCCTTAACAGATGGCAATTAATAAACTGTCGAGTGTCTAATCATTATAATTAAATTATAACTATATTAAAGTTTCTTTGTTATCATTAAAGACAAAGTTTTAGTTCTTATGAGTGTGTCAGTGTTAATTAGCATTCACTTACTAACTTTAATTATACCCCCTCCCCACCACTCTGCCAACACGCATCTGGTCTCTCCGTGATATTACCAAAGTTAGAATTTACTAAGTCTTCTAGTTTTATGAACTAAAAGCATCATTAATATATTCATTATTTGAATAATTTAAGTTGTGTCTAACAATAGTTAGACACATTTGTAATATTTAACCATAATATTATTTATACTGTAATCCAACTACACGTGACGTAATTCTTTTAATAATCTTTTTTTTTCTTTTTCTTATGCTACTTAGAATGGCAAAGTCGACTCAATATTATAACTATTTGTACATAAGAATATACCTACTTATTTTCTGATTAAAAAATTTAATTCTAAGAATTTGCGTTTGAAATATACATGGACTGATAACCAAAATTGTAAAGACAGGTGCGTCTGTTATTTTGTTTAAAAATTGATATTAAAAAAGTATACCTACACTTGCTAGATAAAGACCATTTTTATATCAGAAAATTATTTTTTATATCAGAACATTAAAGTTATTAATCTAAATATACAATTTCGATATATTACAAACATTAATAATGGCACCTAATTTGCTTTTCCCCATAATTTCTCTATAATAACGAAGCGCATGTTGTACTTATTTCTACAGTTAGAATCAAATTTCCCTAGACATATTTATGGACGATTCCGAACATAAAAATATTGCTACGTTTGGGACCACCACTATACCATATTTCATGAATGCAATATTTTTATATAAAAGTGGCATTGCACACTGGAAAAGTTTCTTGTTTATTTTGAAAATATATACCAACCGCCGGCAGATGAGTGCAGACAATATGAAGTAACTGTCCTCTAAACCATTGTATCTATTATGTTCACAGCTAAATACCTATTTGCAGCTAAAATGTGACGCAATATGTCAAAACCCTCAAAACCAAACAGAACGAAACGGAAATCTTTTAGACTTCTCAAGTAGGTTGCTTTCACATTTTTAACATTTATTAAATATATAATCTTAATGAAATGAATGTTTATATTCCCATATTATAATAACGTAGTAATCCAATTTGAGCGCTTCTCATTACGAGTGAAACAAGAATTCTTAACAATATATGTTTTAACTATTCAACATATTCATAACAGTAACATATTCAAAATAGTATATTAACAGTTTAGTAATAACCAAAGAAGCCAGTAATTGATGTCGCAGTACGAACATTTGACATGACTACAACGATCGCCGAAATAGCTTAGTGTTCAGAAACTCAATTCAACCGGGGGAGAAAGAGATTGTTTGTAATGAGAATCTAATAGCCTCATTACTAGCAATATACCTATCCATTCAGGTCTGTATCAGGATCCCATCAAGTCGACCTCCACGCAATTCGCCTAGAAACCATCTTGGTTATGTCTTGTGGAATTCGTCACAATGGGCTAACTAGCCTGCTTTCATCCTTACTCATCATCCTTACTCATCAACGCCCCGCCATTCTATTATCGCTCGTTCTCAACCGAACTTCAAAACAAATCAGCCATGAAAACTAGAGCTAGAGCTGTTGTACGTAAAACACAAGTGGGATTTAAATACTTATGTAGGTTACAAAATATCATCTGATACGTACCCCTCCAAACCGTTCATCCGGACAGGCGCCGTGTGATCCAGCACATTGGCTTTTTGCATCCAGGTAGTAGTCCACCGAGTTGCCTTTTAACGTTGTCATGTTGATCCATGCTACTGCTACGTCACCGCCGACCATCTGAGAGCGTTTCGGGTCTCCTGAGATACCGAAGGACATGTACTCGCCATCCTCTGTAACATAAATGATTATTTTTTTATATTTTATTTAAATCAATTTTTTTAGACGTGTAAAAATAATGTACGCCTCTTCAAGGTATATATATATTATTCATAAGCTCGCAATCTTTATCTTTATCTTTATAATCACTTCCCATCAAGTGATTTATATCATTGATAGCTGCGAGTACTTTACAGTTGATAATACAAAATTATTTCAAACCAATAGTCATTTACAAACAATTAATAGAGTGATAATTGCGTTTATGAACTAGTGAAGTCAATAACTACTACATTTTCCTAACGCACAGTTCCCACGCGCTCTGTAATTACAAGACAATCATTAACAAAAAATAATGAATGTAACGAATGAGCCCTACAATAGAGATACAAATACATCTTTTTTTTTTGTATCGGGAATAAGTTAGTTACAAATCAGATAGTCTTTTTATTTGTACACCTCTGTTAAGTCTAGTAGTATAAGTACTGTATTCCTGTGTTCTCTCTTCATCTTCCTCCTTCATTCTCTGCTGGTGTATGTATGTGTGTGAGTGTCTCGGAATGACAAACAACCTTACGACTCATCTAGTGGTCATGATCTATGGCATTCACACATGCATTGAAGACTAAGGGCCTCTATATCAAAGTATGAAGGGATTATTAGTAACAATCCTCCCTGGAAACCATCGTACTTATTTCGTGATGAATTTGTTACCGTTTATCATTCATCACTAGTACTCCGCCTGCGTATACTGAGTGTAGACTAGGTATCATTTTATAAAAAGATAAAGACTCTTCAAACCTAAAAAGAAAAGTAATGGAATGATTAGTTTTTTTATACAACTTAGAATGGCAAACAAGCTGACGGTCTACCTGATGGAAAGTGGTAACCATCGCCTATGGACATAAGCAGTATCATGGACATAACAGAATATACTGTTTCGTCTATGATACCTCCCATGCGTTGCCATTCCTAAGGACTCAGGTATTATTCCTCTGTACCCAGTAAATTCACGCCATATTCCACCCTTCAAACCGAAACACAACTACTTTACGGTTACTCCACCTACGCTATCAGTATACACTGATAGGGTTACCGTTTCATTACATCATTCAATACGACCTTTCTAACCATACACACTGCTATGCAAGCAGAATTGCTTCCTGGCATAAATTATCAGACATCAATATTAAAGAGACTATGGAGGCATCACTTACCAAGTTTGGCAACCAACTGTAGCACGATGCTGTCTCCAGCCACCGCCCATCTCACTTCGAAGGCTAGCTCGTCGTATAACACCTCGCAATTCAACTTGGACTGCAGACAAATAAACATTTAATTGATAACTATATAAATTCTATAATTAAATGTAAATTTTTCCTTTGTTTTAATGCAACTGCATTAGAGTAAATACATTCAGGTGGCAAGACTGTCCCAAGACTGTTCCTTATGGCAGTCTATGGGAAGCCGTATGTTCAGTAGTGAACAGATAACAGCAGATATGATGATGATGAAATACATTAATGTAAATGTTTGTATCATGCAAGAATGAAACCCATGAACATTATATATATTTAAACTTAAGGAACCTGGATTATAATTTCTGCGTAGTAACATTTATACAAATTATATTATTATGAAATGCCTACTATGTCAACCTCACACACGCACACACGTACGTGTAAATTAATAAAATTATTATTTAAATTTATTATGTTACTTAACGTTAACGTTACGTAACATCATAAATGGATATGATAAAACATTAAGAATCACATCAACTGTTTTTATATTAAACCATGCTACACATTTTCAGAATAATAAATTTGTGATAATATTTTCATACAATATTCCCTATTCCCTTCAAGTATATTTTCAAGTTACTCAAAAATAATATTACATTTTTATGTACATATATTCAATTATTTTAATCTATATTAATATTATAAAGAGGAAAGATTTATATTTTTGTATGTTTGTAACGAATAAACTCAAAAACTACTGAACCGATTTCAAAAATTCGTTCACAATTAGAATGCTACATTGTCTCTGAGAATAGGCTACAGATTATTTTTGAAAATTTTATCTATTCGTATGAAGCCGGGCCAGATCAAGAATATTAAAATAAATAATATTAACGTATAATTTTCATTAATATAAAATCCTAGATTAAAATGAGATTTATATAAAACCACGTTATTATTACTGTGTGGTTTTATGTACATTATTATCCTTGTTAAAGCAAATAAGCAGAGTTTAATTGGCCACTATTATTGGTGTACAAAAGACCGAAGGCCAGTGGGGACCGTTCACTAGGCAGAAGCAACGCCGGCGCCGCATCGTTAAAAGTTTCTACCGTCTCCCGCAATATGGTATTCGCGGAAAATTACAGGATGTCCAACTAATTTTTATTGAATTCTAAAGTTTAACGCTCTATTTTTTTTTTTTTTATTTTAAAGTCGAATTGGTGCCATAATTTGCTAGCAAAGCGACTATTTAACTACATTATCATGTTGTTACCATTTGCTACCAATTGGAAGCTCATTCTTGGTAACTCAATTTGTTTTGCTCCAGACGTAATTTAAATAAAACTAGTTTTAAATTTTTTTTAGCGAACAAAAGGCATTTTATTAAAAAGCTTCATGCGTTTGTCTTTAAACACGTTAAAGTATAAAGAGGTATTATTTTCTATTAAAATAAAAATATAAATTAAATTAAATGTAATTGATATAATAATGTGTAATTGATATAATAACGTGTGGTGACCGAGTAATAAATACAATATGTAAACATTCTTTTTTATCCCCAGGATATCATAATGAAACGTGATGCACAAAAACTTGAATTAAAAATTTAAAATCACGCACCTGGCGCTAACATTCGCCCTTTATGGAAGAGATCTATAAATAATCTATATAAATAATTTATTTACATATTTTTATTTTTCTCTTTAAACATTGTCTGACAAAAAACAAATTAGTGAACACTTTAAAATTTTTCAAATAATTTCAAAATAGCAATCAATATAGTGCATTGATGGTGTATCAGTAAGTGATAACAGATGAGAACAAAGTCATGTCTGTTAGTCCAACGTGGCGAATTTACTAGGTATTAGCCGCGATGGTTTCCTAGAAGGAACGCGTGGTGGTCGTCCTGACAGGGTATTTTGTTTAGCGTTGAAAACACACTTTCCTATTATTGTTAATAATTTCCCCGGTATATACAGGATATATACACCCAGTACATAAGTATGTACCCCTCGTTGTCAAGTGAAATCAAAGACGTATTGAACTTCAAAGCGTTGAGTCATAGCGACACTTCGTATGTAATGTAATAGATGAAATAATTTTCTAGTAGATTACATGGGTCGTCGCCATAGCAACGTGGCCGAAATAATCCGATGAAGCTGTCAAGTGTAATCGTGTATGCGGACCCTTTGACCGACCATTGCGGATTAAACTCTTTCAATAAATGATTGATTTAATAATAATGATTATTAAAAGTGCCATAAGTTCGTTTAAGGGCTCCCATGACTTATACGTGGTTATAATAGTTATAAACTACATTATGCTTTATTTATATACTAACATATGAGAGTAAGGAAGAAGTATAGCGGCTGAAATCTTCCTATTCAATACAATTTGGAAAACTGTAAACCATATATAGAAAAATCGTACAGAAAAATAATGTCAAACCAAAATGATATGTCATCATAGGTTAAGGGTACCTGTGTATAACATAATATAATGGAGGGAAGGTATTGTTAGTAATGGAGAGGTTAGTCGACCTCCACGCGATTTCCCCTGGAAACCATCGTGACTAATTTATCGTTGAATTCGTTACGATGGGCTAAGTGACCTACCTACCTTTTCATCCTTACCAATCTTCCCTCACTGGTTACCATGCGGTGCAGGCGGGGTTACCATTCCATTATCATCCATTAAAAAAATATATTGTGCCGATATATTATAGTATGGGAACAATCCGAACCCAAGACCTCATTTGCACAAAGTTGCATGCCTATCACTGTACTATATATAAGCGAAAATATTGTTAATAGTGGATATTAAGAACCTCCATAATATCAGCACACATTATCAGGTCAACTTCCACGGGGTTATCCTGGAAATTATCATAGTTAAATTTTTTTTTAAAATCGTCTCTTGACGTACTTTCATTCTCGCCTATCATCTCTCACGTAAGCGTACCAACAGCATGTAACACAGTGCAGACGGAGATTCCATCCATTATCACTTATTTAAAAAGAAAATACCATTATATAATTGTGACCCAATTACCATAAATGAAGGATTAAAAATATATATAGTAGATATAATATACAGTTAATAGTTTAAATTTACCACCTTACAGAATAGGAGTGTTAAATAAAATCCCTTTTTACATGGCATTAAAAATCTTAAATAAAGTACCACTAGAAATAAAAAATGAAAGTAAACTATGTAAAGTTATAAAAATCAAAACACCACCTTATTGAAACACGTTATTACACAATAGATAATATTTAATATAGCGTAGTATAATTTACTAATACTATTATTGGTTGTTATGTGTCATGCATGCCAAATTTCCTATATCCCTAAAAAGGATAGTAACTTGGTACTAATGTAATATATACTGGTATATGTAAACATACCTACGTACGTAAATAAACACCTAGAGCAAGTATTCCATTTGATTTTATTTTATTTGATTAATATATACTGTCACTCAACTATTCAAATTATGTTCGATAGAACAGACATATGGAATATAAAGCAATTCTACACCATACGGAATAGGATTCCATCAATTATTTTGGCACCTAACAAGACAATAATCCAACTAAATTGCATGCACAATTGAAGCACCCTAACAGAGCTCGATGTTACGTAAGGTGCGATCACACGCTGTGTTTTCCTGATAATAGTAAAATACATTAAATTAATAACAAAAAGTGTAACAATATTAATTGATTAAGTCCCGATCATAATAAATGAGAAATATTCTTGTTAAATATAAGTATATGCTATTTTTCAACCGACTTCAAAAAGGAGTTAATTTTAAACATTCGTGTTGTTTACACATATTTTAAATACATATACAACGTCGGCAATAAAGAAGCATGTATGTAGGTACTATGCGTATTTACTTGCAAAGGTTTTTTCATCACGTTAAGTCCCGATTGTGTATTCAAAAAAAGGATTCTCAATTCAGTTGTATTTTTTTCCATATATTTTGCGTTAATAAATATGTAAAATTAAGTTCCTTATAAAAACGGAGGTTTTAAATTCCTCTGATTTTTTCTACTGTTACGCAATCACGTCTCCTATATCAATTTCTACAGGTATTTTCTAGTACTCTCTTTACTCTCTGGTTTTAGTCTCATAATATTCCATTTTAATAATATGTTTATTGAAACTGCTGTTTTCTTTGCGGACCATAAATTGTTTTTTGCGAAGCAAAATCTACATATAAACACGCAATATTTACGATGTAAGGTATCTTCGAAACATCTGGTCGTTTATCGATATATTTACAATTGGACTCGCTTTCTTCTGGTGCAATATTATATTTGTTTTATCTGTACTAATATATATAGCAAAAGAGTTTATTTGTTTGTTTGTTTGAACGCGCTAATCTCCAGAACTAGGTACAAGTCGGATTTAAATTTTGTTTCTTTCATTAATTCAGGAAGGTACAGGTTATTCAATACGCTGATACGAAAACGGACGATACTGTAAGATACAGCTAGTTATACAGATAGCAAATATGAACATCGACTTCTATAGTTTTAAATTTAGATAACAAGCTAACATACAGCTCAAGTGTAACGACGCCCTAAGTCAGTGCCCAACAATATGGCGAGCCGAATTCATGTGGGTAATGAGGGTGCGCGCCGTATTACTTTATGTAATCCCCTTATTGGCTATCGTCCTACTATTATGTAAGTATAGGAAAGATACACACAACCGCTACTACCTTCACACTCACTATGACAATACCTACAACGGAAACGCTATATGAATACATAAGAATGTATATATCGATATAGCTTATTATTCGATCCTTTATGGTGCTCAATACGATTGTATTTTTATTATATATTGCCCGTTATCTTCGAAAACTTAATTCGAAGATTATTTGACTTTGAAAAGAAAACGACTTCGATGATTCTTTTTACAAGTGTTTACTTTCGTTCAAAGGACCTGCCATGAAATGTTTCTCAAAATTTCAGAGCCAAAACGAAACATAAATTTGATGTTAAAATTACATAATAAATATCGTTTAAAAATATGAAAAATATTAAAATATCGTTC